AGAATTCCCCAGCCAGCCATGATGGCTGGGGAATTCTGGGAGTTGTAGTCCACACATCTTCAAGTCGCCAAGGTTGAGGAACCCTGCAGTAGGTGAATAACTGGCCTTGGAAATGGTATCAGTGGGAAAAAATGGTTTCTGGAATCATATTGAATTATGTAGCTGACAGACTACTGGCATGAAATGTGGTTGTATCTCATAAGTACTAGTAAAACGCCATTGCCTGGGAAGGCTTTAAAATGAAAACTGAGGGGATTCAGGAATCCTGTAGACCAAATCTGTGAAGTAACGACCTCAAATAAGACTTGTGCACTTTACAAGGAAGTGGGAATATCCCTGTAATGTGGCCTAATAAAGTATCCAGTATCTGCAATGAATTCAAATGAATACGCTTGATGGACTATTGTAAAAATTCCAATAAGAAAAGAAAATGGAGGAAAACATAAGCCTACATGGCTCCTCAAAAAGTTTAGTGAAGATGTGAAAATAAAAAAGGACAAATGTAGGAGATGGAAAGACTCAGGTCATCATGAAAGTATACATAAAGGTAGTGCAGAATTGTAGAGAGGGCATATGGGAAGCAAAAGGTCAGAATGAGCTAATAATAGCAAAAAAAAAAAAGAGGCTTCCTTGGATATATTTAAAAGAATTGCATCCTAGGGTACTATGGGAATTAATTGATGGTCTGGTGAACCTTTATCTATCTATCTGTCTGTCTGTCTGTCTGTCAAATTTGTCACCACCCATATCATGGAAACGACTCTGGGCAGTGTACAAAGTTAAAATCAATTAATATATATTATCTTTGCAGAATTGGTGAAGTTCAGATGATGGGAGGACAGAAAACACTGGTATCTTCAAAGAAGAGCGGGGTGGGAATCTGAGGACCTATAGACATATTAGATTGACATCAATAATTGGGAAGCTGTAGAACAATCATAATGAAATCAATCTATAAGCACCTAGAAAAAAGTGTGATAATGGCCAGAAGACAGCATGTCCAAATTATTCACCTAGGAAAAAGAAATTAAATCCACAGTATAGAATGAGGGATACCTGATGTCAGAGTTCACACACCAGGCATGGCAATAAATCTTAACTCTCCCATCAAGCCACAAGCAGTTGGACAAGATCAAAGAAGTAAGAACTATACAGATTTCAGCAAGGTATCTTTAAAGGTAGTCTGAGGTAAATACAGAAACTTGGAAACTGTAAAAAGAATTTCCCACCCTCATTTAAAGTGAGTTCATTGGGACAGAGTCTCTGAATAATTTGAAATGTTTCTTCCCAAATTTTTTGCTACCTGGCCTAAGTTGCTGTTTATGAGTTAAGCTGCCAATGGACTTGCCTTCTTTTTCTTGATTATTTATGTCTGCTCTCCCTTTCATTCTTCTCCCAGCCTCCTCAAAATCTCTCAAATCTCCAGACATTCAACCTGAACTTGCTTATAGAAGTTTCACAGACATGACATGCCTAGATAAATTTCACACATACACACGCAGTTCTGCCTATTGAAGAACATACAGTAGAAATATGTATGTTTGCTCCAGTGGTTTAAATTTTAGGCCTTTTCTTCCCTCATGTTCAGGCAAGAGACTTCTCCCAACCTTGAGAGTCAGAAAAATCTCCTCAATGTTTATATAATGGTTCTGAATGACCTAAGTACTGGTTCTAGCTTTACTACCTTCAGCCCTTCTGTCTATCTTGGTAATAGCACTTGTGAAAAAGTTCTTGGAACAGCTGATTACAATGCGATGTGTCGTAATAATGGCAATAATAATAATACAGTCTCTAACATTGTTCAGGATTTTCATTTTTTTTTTCTTTTTTGCATGATGTGCTACTGAAGTGGGAAGTGGAAATCCTACCGAACTGTCTCATGTAATTATTAAAAAATTATTATATGAAAATAATATATACATAAACAGAGAAATACAACAATTACAGCCTGAGATTTGCTTGCTAGTTTATATACAAACCTATCTTTACCTCTCCTTCTTTAATGTGGATATCCTTGTGTTTTCCATTTTCTATTACCTTCAGGCACATGTCTCCCTGCAGCTGGTAAAACAACTGTGTAGGAAGGAGGAAAACGTTAAATTAAAAACATGTCAATATATCTCACACATTGTAGCATAGGTTCACACACTGGAGCTTTTATGGCTAAACCAAATATTATGGCTTCTGAAAATATTCTTTATACGACGAACCTCCCTCGCCTTACTCTATCAAATGTTTGCATTCTGTATAATATCATGATAAGCCCACTGTGAACTTTTCTCAAGTTGTTGGTGTGACACAGTGTAATTCCTCAGAATCCTTTTTAATAGTGGATGCTTTATCAGGTTTCTGTAGCAAAATATGCAGCCTTGCAGTTTATAGTTCAAATAAGATTATACTCTTTCTGGAAGCATCTACAAGATGGGTCTTCCCTCAGGGCACCCATGTAGAGTTCAAATCCTTTTTTTTTTTTTTTCCTGCAGCAGCCTCGTGGTGGGCTGAGTGCCAGATAGGGGGAAGCAGCATATAATGCACATATTATTCTATAAATATATGGAATCAGAAGAAACTTGTTCTTTTACCTTTTGTCTTCATGCTAAATGCAATACATAAGACTTGTATATATAAAGTCATTTTTAGTAGTCCAGTGTAGTCTTTGCATATATGTTTGTTTTTCTCTCTAAATAATTTATTGAGATTATATTTATTTATAGCCAACTGAAGTGTAGCCAGCAACACACTTCACTGACGGAAAAGGAGGCAGGGCCAGTAACCGAATTATTGTACTCGAATAACTCCCTTGAAGAATATGTTTTGCTAGTTCTTCTATATCTTCAAGAGGGAGATGCCATGATGCATGAAAAGTTGATTATTATAAAATAATAAACTAGAATATATCTATGCTAATGCTGTTTTATGTTTTAATCTGTTTTATGCCAAGTTGAACTCCCCTTCCTAAAATGATCAGTTCAATCTGGGTACAGAAAATGATCAAACTGAGATTCCAGTGTACTATTTAGGGTGAGGCTTTTGGACTCAGTTTTAAATTTGCAGGGTAGATCCTTTCCAAAGAAAATGAGAATGTTTAATGTTTCCAAACTGAAATATCTTGCAATTTATGTCAAAGTGTCAAGCTCTAGGTGAGTTTGTGGTACAAATTCATTTCATTTAAGGAAGCAAGGCTTGGACAATGCCAAAGCTTCCTCTATGTTTAGAAGTAATGAATGAATAGAAATGTTTTATCTTATTTTTATTACAGATTATAAACTAGAATAATACATGGTATAAATCATACATTTTGCCTTCAAGGTGATTACATTTCAAGTCACAAAACTATAGCAGTATAATTAATCTATTATTGTATTTTAGTCATGTTTATATTTCTGTTGCAACAGGACCACAGGAACTAATAATCATAGTTCAAATCCTATTGTACTGTGCATAAATTCAGGAGAATGTGAGCCATTAAATAACTGCGAATATACCCACCTAAGCTTTTTCTGAATGTTATATACATGTCTTTTCAAAACTGAAATATGTGAAATTAAATTAATAAATTAGGACAACAACTTAACATTAACACAGAGATCATTGGAAGGAAATGGTCTATGAAGGAAGGATGAACTATATTGACTACAAGGAAAGAGGAACTTTTTTTCTTGTGGTGCCCCAACTGTACAACACTCTAAAAATGGGTGTGTCTGGTGCCAGCGCTTTAAATTTTTACAGTCAAGTGTAAACCTGTTTGTTTGCATGGATATTTTAATATAGTTCCTCTTAAACTTGCTGAGGTGAGCTACTTATGTTATTTGGCGCGTTTTATTGCTGTAGTTAATGGTTTTCTATTGTTTTATACTTTATTGTATTACGCTTTAATTTTTAATGAACATTGAATATTGGCCTTATATAAGATAGAGGCCTTTATAAAAATATTTCTTTATAAATAATACATTTATGATTTTCTTCCAGGATGAATGGAAGAATTAATGGATGCAACATTAATGGATATGTGAACACAGCTATTACTGAAAGCCAGCTGCTGCTCATTTGTGTTCCAGGTTTCCTGGAGAAATTTGAAAAAGGTAAGCTCGGTCAAACTATATGCGACTTGAGTAGTTGTGTCAATGTACTATTCCAGACCCTCATTTTAAATCAAACTACTGGAGGAATCAGTTCCTAAAGCAAACCAGGAGGAACCAGGTGGGGGCCTTTATCTCTTCTTGTATAAGCTATGTGATGTCCCTTGGATGTTGAATGCATTTATGGATAAATATATAAGGAATGCTTATGGTAATGTTAGTGGTGTATTAGTTGGAGACATGAATACACATGTACTTCTGTATTCAGATGATGCTGTGTTGTTGGCCAAGAAACTAAACTGTTTATACTAAATGTTAGACAGATTGTATGATACCAAGGTAGTCTGATAGGGAAAACAGAATGAACGATTGCAAGTTATAGATAAATGGTGAAAGACTAGACATGTAGATGAACTGTATACACTGGTAGGCCATTGACTAATAATGGAGAAATGGATGGAGAAATTTAAAAATGAACAAATGCTTGTAGAAAGGTGTTCTGTTGCAAGCAAGCAAGAATATTTGTCAAAAGCAAGCAAAATGACTGTGTATGAGAACATGATTCTGGCCACTTTGTTATACAGAAGGAAGAGTTGGCTTCTCATATCTCCTTTGGAGAAAGTAAACATACTTTGAACCTAACCAATCTATTTTTTTTTTTTGCCTATGAAGATTTCATGAGAGGATTGACCTATTTGTGATGAAATTTAATTAGTCTAGATGTTTATGTCCTTTATACTGTATTTCTTAAATCCCTGTATAACTTTCTGTCTTTGTTGTAAATGTTTAATTTAACATTTAATTTAACTCTTATCTTTCATTACTGCATTGAATTATGTTTTTAAGATTTCAAAGAATACAAAGAAATACACTGACATCTATGGGACACACAGAAGATTGCAGGCAAATTATGTTTTAGAAATCCTAAGTACTTGTTTTTGTTTATTTGTTTATAGTTTAAAAAATAGCTAACCATCTGGATAGTCAGGAAAACATATTGAGCTACTAAATCTGATTTGGCAAATGTTTTGCTGAAATTCAGCTATTCAAATAACTAGCATCAATTATTAAGAATAATGAATAACAAATGCTACCACAGACTTCTGGCAACCTGACCATTATAATCATCTATCTGTCTGACACAAATAAAAATAGCATTATTTTAGTTTAGTTTTTAATGATTGGAAGTTTCTGGATAAGGATATTAAATTTAAAACATATGATTTTAAATTAATACACTGTTCACCTGCTGGATCTGGCTACAGTTGACCTACTGTATATCAGTCTTTCCCATTTGGCCTCCTACAGATGTGTTGGTTTATATACTGTACTTTATAATTCCTGTCTTGCCAGTTTGTGGGATGGAATCTAATACAGCTGAGTGATGCCACATTGAGGAAAGCTGATCAAATCCAACACTACAAGTAGTCCTCAACTTATGACCAAAATAGAGACTGGAAAATTCATCGTTAAGCAGTACAGTTGTTAAATGAGGCATCACATAACTGCACATGATTTTATGACATATTTTGCAGTGGTCTTTAAGTGAATCACGCGGTTCCCCATTGATTTTGCTGGAAAGGTTGCAAATGGTGATCACGTGACCCTGAGATGCTGCAACTGTTGTAAATACATGCTGGTTGCCAAGTGTCTGAATGTTGATCATGTGACTGAGGGTACACTGCGATGGTTGTAAATGCGAGGACCAGTGGTAAGTCACTTTTTTCAGCACTGTCATATCTTCCAATGGTCGCTAAATGAATGGTCATAAGTCGAGGACTACCTGTACTTATTCCATAATAGCCATTCAGATTTTCCTGATAAGCCCACAAGCAAGATATACAAGCAACAGTTCTTACTTGTCTCAGCATTCGGTATTCTACAACAATGAAATCTAAATGCTACTGGTGGCTTTACCTACTATCCATTTGTTTTATTATTTCTTTAAAAAAATGAAAAAGGAAGACAGCCTTTGCTGCCAGTGGGCTAATGAACTGCAGCCAGAAAAGTCTTTATATATATGATGAGCTGCTTCCTTTTATTCTGCGTCTACTGGGAACTTGATTTAAGGACAACTTGATTTGCAACTCCTACCTGCAAATTAGGAGTGGTAGTTTGCAAGACAAAACTGTTATCTATTGCTGCCCAATAACTGAAGAAGAAGGACAGCAGTGGTGAAGGAAGGGACAACTGCAGACAGGACAGTTCCCTTGGCCAAAAGCAGCAATCTGATTCTGCAGTGGGTCACCTCTCATGTCAGCAGCTATGCATTATCTCCAAGCACCTAACTTCCTGAAGCAGCCCCCGAAAAATAATAACGCCAAAAGCATTATTTGCTTATTTGTGAAAATAGCTCAACTGCTCTTTTCGACTGAAACCTGAAGCAAGATATTGAAGATGCTAAAGAATTCCACACATGTCAACCATTTCCAGAGTCATTAGAAAATGGAATCTAGATCCCAAAGCTTCTTCCATAAGAAATGGATTCATATTTTAAGCTGCCCCAGGAATCTGTATTATTACCAGTAGAATAATTAAACCCAGACAGTTGATTTTCTTTCTTTTGGTAGAAATAGAATATAATTGCTAGGGTAGATCTACAGAATATTTTGGCTAATTCTCTGTCACCGAGTTCATACATAAGATAGGGTTACTTTTTAAATGATGTTCCTTGACAGATCTGCATGTTCAATCAGAACAGCTTTTTAAAAATGGTAGGAATTGGAACCAATAATTACAGTACTCTAAGTAACTAAAATAAAATAAAACTCTTGCCATCTACATCATCTTCATTTACAAGTAGTAAACATCATATTCACACATTAAACACAATGGAGTCTGTACTACATTGACTGCACGGTATGACTGAGCAACTGTGGTGTTTTGGAAAAGACAACCATGGCAGAACCTTATAAAGACAAAGAACTCCAGTGTAGATCTTGAGAATTAGTCACAGTAAGAGAAAGATCACCTGATTACCTTATGCCAGTGTTGTCCAAACTTGGCCACTTTAAGATGAGTGGACTTCAACTCCCAGAATTCCCCAGCCAGCATTGAAGAATGGGGGGTTCTGGGAGTTGTAATCCACCCATCTTAAAATGGCCAAGTTTGGACAACACTGCCTTATGCAAAGAGCTGGCCATTATGATGAATTGACAAGGGGAGATGAGTACATGGAATTTTTTATCACCATATAAAAGAAACCTGATCAACCTTGGTTACTCTACATCATGATTAAGTTATGGGAGAGGGACGCAAGGCCACCCCTGGAGGTCTATGTGTATTTCTGAGGCTTTCTCTCTTTCTCTTCCTTTGTAGGTTCTGTCCTTGAAGGCAAACAGCATTCTTTAATAAATCTTAGCATCTGAGAGTTCCTGATGATAAAACACAAATTCTAGCTGCCATTATATTATTTTATGTATTTAATCTTTGGATAGTATGGTTATTTATATTATATCCATTTGTAGTTAAATCTATATACTGTCTGGACAAGCACTGTATGACTGGTGATAAAATAAACATTTTAAGTGCACAATTAGAAAATATATGTACATGAGATGAGTTATTCTTGATAGCAAGTTGTTAGATTTAGAGAGAGATAGCATGCTGGTACCATTGCATTCCTGATTGTTTTATTTCTTTATTCCCAAAGATTATTGATATATAAACTGCCTGGCTGAGCTGCTGTAAGAGTTCACAAATAATGTGAAGCTGCTGGCAGCATGTGGGATCATGGGGAAATAGGATTATAAGAGTAGCAGTGAAAAGAATTACACGCAAAACTGCAGATGATTTTTTTAAAAAACTGAATCATTCAAAGAATGGCTCTACTGAACTGAGCAATCTGAACATGCTGCCCAGGTGAACTGAAGAGTTTGATGAAGGAAAACTAGATTTCCCAGTGTAATCTCTCCAGAGTTTTCTCTTTTGCCTCAGAAAAAAACAGGAAAAATTGGACTTCTGGGGAAGATGGCCGACTGAAGATGGCTCTGTGAAAAAGTGGAGCTGACGTTTGAGGACTTTTTTAAAGAGCCAGTCAGCAGATCGGCTCCTTTGATCCTCTCTGGATAAAAGAGGGAGATGCAATATTGCCCAAGCTGTTTCTCCTTACAGTTGTTCCGCTTCCTCGTGAAGAGGAAGAGACTGCAAGACAATGATCTCTGCTATGGGGGGGAGGGGGAGATGGGGGAAATCAACATAATTACTCCAGCCACAAACAGAGCAAAACTCGTGCACTTCCCTTGCTAACTATTTTTGGAAATTGCTTATTAACTGCTTCAATTAAATTAGACACTTTCAAAGGGACAAGGCTGGAAACGCCCGGTGAGTGAGTACCTTCAGACCTTAATATAAGAAAATAAATATTTATTTTTATACCTCTTAAGAATTTAAAATAAACAGCAAAAAACAAGACAAGGTTTTGGCTACAGAAAGTTTTAAAAAGATTAAGGGCACAGAAAACATTGGTTGAATTTTGAATATTAAGACTTTGAAATTATTTTGAAAGAATAAATGCATGTTTGTGGGAAATAATTATCATGGCATTTGGAGGTATCTTTGAGGAACTCCACTGAGGACTGCGTCGAGACTTTGAATCAAGTATGGCAGCTATGTCGTGTCCTTTTGGGAATAGTCTGTCTTCAGAACAAGATGTTATAGAACAAGATATACAACAAATTCCACTTGAGATTAATATGAATGAAACTTTGGATAAGAACCTGCCATCAGATGCAAAGAGAGAACTGTATGAGGTTTTAAAAACTAAGAAGGAAATAAAAAAGACAATCCCAGAGAGTAATGGGAATAATTCTTTTTTGTTAGATTTACAAAAGAGATTGCTTAAAGTATGGAAGAAATTTGTAATAAAGATCAACAACTACTAGAATGGATTACAGAGAAAGACTGTTCTGTATATATAAAAAAAGGAATACAAAGTCGCCTTATTTGACCTGGGTTAAAATGGGACATGTTGTTATTCTGGGTAGCTCTTTTTGGATTTACTGGTATTTTGACTGGAAACTGGATTTGCTTATTTGGTGTTTAAATATGTTTACTTTATAGCTATTTTCTGTATCCTAATTGCCTAGTATCTAAATGTTTAGTGTCTAATTGTGTGAATTTTTTTAGGAGAAACTAGCTCTTTTTGTTAGGTTAAACTTTAGTCTTTTTTGTATTAGGATGCTGGAATTACTTTATATTTGTGAATAGTTTAGAGCTGAGATATAGAATGTTTATTTGAATGGGATATGCTGTTATTTGGGGTGGTCATCTCTGGAACGGTTGTGGAATGGGCTGTGTATTGGAGTTTTTTTTTTTTAAAGGAGAAATAGTCTCTTTTATTATGTTAAACTTTAGGTTTGGTTTGTTTATACTAGGATGTTGGGACCTTTTTATACCTTTTAAATGAGATTTTGCTTACAGCTAAATTTGAGTTTTACATATGTTAATTAATTTTAATATTTTAGAACTCTGGACTTTTGCTGACATTTGGATAAGGAGAAGATGCTACTTATTTGATTCTATTACTGAGAGATGGGTTATAGGATGAACAGTTTTTTGTTAATTAAGAGGGGTGAAGAAATTATGAAATTGTTTATACTTGTTGTGATGAAGGTAGGAAGTCGGTTTCTTAAATGGGCAGATTTTTTTGCATTCTTTTTTCTTTTTTGTTATACTTTGTATTATCTTTTATTGTTCTTTCCAAAGATCTTAATAAAATTATTAGAAAACGAATAAAAATAAAAAAACAGGAAAAATCAAAATTTTTAAAGAAGGCTTCAGAATACCAGCTGGATCACCATTTCATGAGATTTGCCCAGAGCACCTTGTGCAGAAAAGAAACAGCAAGCTGTAAAATGGATGGATATCTCCAATTGTTCTACCCACTTGCTATGTTCCAGCAGAGTGGATGCGCTCCAGGTCCCCTCTATTAAATGTTGACATTTGATGGGACCAAGGAAGTATGTTTTCTGTCATGGCCCCCACCCTCTGCAATAGCATCCCCCCAGAGATTCAGATGGCACTCACTTTCCTGGGGTTCCAAAAGGCATGAAGACCTGGCTTTGGTCTCAGGCCTGGGGTTAATATGTTTGTGAGGCCCCTACTGTGGTTGTCTGTTATTGTTTAGCCCATGCTGTCTGTGGTGTGGTATGTTTTTAACTGTTCTTATTGTTGGATTTTGTAAGTCACCCAGAGTCTACTAGTTTCTACTGTAACAAATTTAAATAAAACAACAAGAACAACAAATATGCTGCCGCTTCTGTAATGGGAAAAAAAATGCTTAAAATCAGGGACATTAGAAAAAATACATTTTTAGAAATCCCCAGTTACTTATTACTCTTTCTGATGACTTTAGGCCTATCAGCATCTATTATACTACTTATCTCACAATGGTTTTGATAAGATAGGGGAGCATACTATATGGTACCTTGAAGTTTTTGGTTTTAAAACCTCATTAATAATATTTGTCTGCAGCTTTCATTTTCTTCGTTTGTCTCTCCAATCTTCCAGACCAGTCCAGATAAAACCTCTGCTGTGAAGTTGAGAGTAAATGATTTATTTATTCTATTTCTTTAATGTGAAACATAATTATTTTAGCCACATTAAAGTTGTGTACTTTGGACTGTAGAACTCTTTAATTTGTATTTTTCTAATGAATAAAAATCCCTTTTTCTAACCTTATGAGGAAGAACATTAAGCTTTAAAAAATTATGCACAACCGAGAGATAAATTCAAACCACTGTATTACCTCTTCTCCTTCTTCAATATGGTAATCTTTCCTTTGGTTTGGCCCACCAACAAACATTATATTGAGCTGTCGGCGATGCCTGCAGAACAACATTTTTTAACCATCAATCTTTTTAATGCTTCCTTCAATTTCATTACTGTCCTTTTTTCATAGCATACAAAAAGTGATATGCAACAGTAAAACTATTTTGCTTTAAATGTTAATAACCATAGACAGCAGCAATGACATAAAAATAATGAAAAACTAAGGCATAAAAAGATGAAATAATTTAAGAAACAGTTAAGAAAAGTGAAGGGTGGGGGGGCTTTTTTTTTTTTTTTGCTAATGATGCAATCTTGCTCCATTCAAACCAGAAGTAACTTCCTCTGAGAAGTTTATTTTCATGGGCAATTAGAAGGAAGAAAACAGTGCTTGTAATATGTAATTCTTGTAATATGTAATTCTTTGCTTCTGAGTTCCTTGGGGAGAAAGAAGTCCTCAGGTCTACCCTATCATGCTTCATTTCTTTTGTGTCAGTCTATTGAGCATTAATGGACTCTCTAGTATTTCCCTTATTCAGAGAACAGAAGGAGGTAAGTGAAGGTAATGAGGTAATCATATAACCTACAAGCAGCAAATTCAACCTACAATGAATTCCCATTGGAGACTCATTCAGATACAGTGTAAAATATATAGCTTTTTGCTATAACACTCCTAAGTTTCCTCTAGTTCCTGTATTTTTTGTCTCACCACTAACTTTTTTGGCATAATGTATGGACTTGGGAAGTCTAGGCTTCTGTTTTTGATTAACTACAGCTAACTATGTTGTCCAAACCAAACAGCAGTTACTGTCAGCCAGAGAATAAGGAACTAGAGTATACAAATGTCAGTGAAAAGCTATTGTGACATCTTTTCTAAGTTGAAGGTTCCATTAATTCAACAAAAATTATTTTGTTTTTGTTGGAACCTATACTGTATGTCTTTTTAGGAACTGATTTATGCTTGTGATCAGAATGCAATATTGCAACATTGCTTCATATAATGTGGTTTTGTGCTTTAGTGATTCTCTTTAAGACATAAGTGATTTTGCATATTAATTTGTTCTGGAAGACTCACTGTTTTTTGTGGATGCTCATCTTCTTTTGAATTATATACCAGTGGCTTGGAAATTAATAGAACAGTGGAAATGAATATTGGGTACTTCTTTCATCACACACTAAAATACTGCACAGTTGGACTGATATTATTTATATTTTGAACAAACGTTTTACTACTGGGAACTTCAAATGACTGATTAGATCCTTAGACTATACTATACTATTTTATTTATTTTACTAGTTTATAAATTTAATTTCCTATTTTTTCTCCCACTAAAGGAACTGATTTAACTGTTAACTTCATATGACAGGAATATAAATGTAACACTAGGTCAATGAGTGTATCAATTATACTTTTATAGGGGAGAAGTTCTCTTTTTTATTGTTGAAAATAAAATATGTAGGCTGTGCAACAGTAGAAAAAAAAGAAGGCACATGAGTCTTGGGCAGGGAGAGCTTGTAACTCAAGACTTTTTGCCTTCAGTTATTTCATATTTGTTTCTGTGTCTTCCAAATACCAGCTTGTTATCTTCTCCATACCCCATTCTAGATTATATTAGCAATTTTCTACAAACAGTTGGAAAACAGCTACAATAAACTTAGACATGGAGGTGGAGAGTTACTGTGAACATGCATACATACAGGCATACCTCATTTTATTGTACTTCACCTTATTGTGCTTTGCAGATATTGCATTTATCAAACAGCATCACACGCTACAGAGAACTCTTTCGTGAAAGGAAGTCAGTCGATGCAGCAAACTTCACTGTTGTCTTATTTTAAGATTTTTTTAAGATTAAAGTATGTACATTTTTAGACACAATGCTGTTGCACACTTTAATAGACTACAGTATAGGGTAAACATAGCTTTTATATGCACTGGGAAACCAAAAAATTCACGTGACCACTTTATTGCAGTGGTCTGGAACCAAACCTACAATATCTCCAAGGTATGCCTGTAGTCAGATTTAGGAGTTTGCAAGCGGGAAGTGATGAAGCATACATCACAACATACTGCATGTGCATGAAACTTATGTACTTACAATGTCAGGATACAAGTATGTAAGGGTGGTTTTGCTCCAAGACCACAATTAAGAATAATTTTTGCATCATCATAGCTAGCTGTGGAGGCCTAGGCACATGCATACTTCACTTATAAATTGAGATAATCTGTACAACTACAGACTATTTTGATATGAGAAATACTAACAGCTTCTGGACTAAAACAACAGTAGTTCTAGATAAGTACTGTATCTGCTATGGATTTAAAAAAAAAAAAATTAGAATCCAGGGTTGTCATTTATTTATTGCTAACTTTCTAAATATAAAGCAACCCTTAGGCTAGCCTAGCAAAAGCAGACAATAGTCAAACATCAATTAGCACTGTCAGATACATCTTTACCCTTCATTTCTACAAATTTTTGAAAATAATAATAATAGTAATAATAATAATAATAGTAATGGTACCCTTCACTTACATAAGCTTATTACATACTGGAGGCAGAAAAGCATCTCTGTTTTCTTCTACCCATTTCTTTACATTCACAAGCATCTCCTCCATGACTCTTGATAGCAATGTGGTCCAGAGAAAATGGTATATGAACCTACTAGGTCTGGCACCGCAATTGTTCTTATATGCTATTGCAAATGAGTGTCTCTGTATAATTGGAATGATTGGTGCATAACAGTGCACTATCCTCAGCTGATGAGTTTAAAATCCAAAAGGTTATTTAGATGATTACTTAGCTGAAGGGCATTCTCAACAGTTTAGCCAATAATCAACTCATGCATGAAAAACTACCGTATGTCTAAGATATCTTCCTCACAGAAATCTGTTCAATTTTAGTAAAGAGAATGTACCAGTAGGATGAATTATTTTTTGTGTGCCCTATTCACCCTCACACATATTACATTATTAGTATCTGGCCTATATGTAACATGAACATTTCACAATATTTATTAGTTTTAAAAGTCAGTTTTTATTACAGTCAAATATAGCCCTCTAGAACTTGCATATATATTTTTTCAGATAAAAAAGCATACCAATTCAACTCAAAGTAGAGTTAGCTTCTGTGTAAGTAAAGAAGGCTTGGCAGTAATCAAATTGTTGCAGCTAATTCTACAGAACATGATTATGGAAACATTTGCTACAAGAAGGTACAGTGATTGTCATGAACTTGGATAGTTAAAAGGAGATTAAACAAATAACAGGATAAAATTATTGGGGGCTACTAATAATGATTATCATTAATAGTTTGATTTCTCACACTTGTCCATGATGGATCCTCTATCATCCTGGAACATACCCAAAAGTGTTCACTGCAACTGGGTGGGCCTCTTGCTCTGAGGTTTCAAGGATACTTTTGCTGACATTGTGAATACTTGATTGTAAATGCGGCTGAAATAACTTGCAGAACATGGACAAGTGAATCCCTATAAGTACCACATAGCATCTACTATTCTTTTCCTTTCTCTCCTGGTTACTCCCCTCCTTTATTCCCGCCTCCCCTACAATTAAATTAATGAATCCAAGTAGCAGAAAGATCCAACAGTGAGTCCTATTTTGTTGTTGTTGTTCTGACTGATGCTATTTTTAAATAGATGGGTTTGAGTGGCAGAACATGGTGCCATTATGCATTTTTGTTGTGAGCTTGGTCAAAGATGATAAGTGAAGCAAATTTATAGAAAAGCTATCAATTACCACCCATAGAAAAATTGTTCATTATTTTTCTATGAAGGGGCAGATAGGGGACCAAGATGGTATGTCAGTGTGAAAAGATGACAGGTACATTGTGCATATGAAACAGAAACAGTCACTGATTCCTCCCATACTCTTTACTTTTGGCCAATATCTCTTGGGAAAATTTTGAGATTAAACATGTTAGTGCTGCAGCAATAAATAAATACATAACAAGATAAATACATCCTCAAGCTTGATTCCAAGTTACTAAATCAGTGCAATTTTCTTGGCAGCATTATGGAAGTAGTTTCCCTTTACCTTCTTCTAGCATTTTTTAATTTTCCAGCTTGATCAAGCTGATATTCCCAGGTGGTCCCACATCCAAGAAGATCAAGTAAGACCAAAATAATTCTAAAATAGAATGGATTTAGGATTTGAATTTTTTTTTTCTATTTCCCCACTGATTATTGACATTTAATTTCAGTTACTTGCTCCATGGATCTTATAGCAACAAGGGCTGGTCAGATAGACTCTATGTTCCTAGATCAAGCTTTAAGAATGTAGTGTTCTTGTAGTTTATAGAGTATATTTTAAGTGTAAAACAGCTATCCACAGAGCAGTTGCTATTTGGGTTGAGAGTAAATATGTACTGTGATGAGGCTGACTGCATTAGTGATCATCCCCAGAAGTGCTTCATCTGGCCCCCTCAAAACCAAAGGGGGCCCTTGATAAACTTTTTTGGCAGCTGATGTCTGCAACTGTGTCTGTAAGCAAAGGAAGACTCCCCTTTTAGTGTGTGCTTTTGCAAAAGCCGAATTATGGATCTGAAAAAAACGGAGTACCTGTTAACAGTTTGTAGAATTATCAGGGGTACTCTTTATTTCCCCAGAAGCCTATGTTATGTTTTATATTATTAAAAAAACAAGTGAATGCATTTGGGGTGGACCCTAGAAGCATCTTATACTTTCTTGGGTATCTTGAGAGGCAAAAGCTTTCACTGTTCCTTTTTAAATGAAAGAAACTTCTAATCTGAGAGGAAGTTCAATATGCTTTCCTTATTTCCTACTGCGGCAATGTAGTCGGGCCTGCGGACGATCCTAACGCACGCAACCACCCAAAGGGAGGCCGGGTCCGGGCTACTCGGCTGGGAAGACCGTCGATGCCCGGCGCGGGGAAAGGCCGGCGCGCCTCTAGCAACTCCGTGCGGGCCAGGCGGGGGGAAGCCCACTTCCCCTCATTCCTCAGCGGGGCCTTCTCTCCCTCGCCTTCCTCGGCCAGCCGCCTCTACCCGTTTCCCCCTTCGAGCCTCCTCTTAGGCTTTTCTTCAGCGCCCGCCCTGCCGGCCGGCGCACCTTTGCTACTTTGGCCTGCTTCGCTCCCGCTCTTGGACAGCGGAGACGCCTAAACAGCAGCAACCAGCGCGTCTCCTCCCGCCCCGCAATGGCGGCTCGCAGCGTCACGGCCGCGCCAGGGCCTAGTAACAGCCGCTGCCGCCGCTAAAACAACGCGACGCTAGAGGAAGGGGAGAGGGGGAAGGGCGGCCGGCGTGAAATAGAACTCGTTGCTTCTGCCCCTCTAGCCCGTGCTTTGTTGTGGCCCAGAAACATGAAATTCGGAGCAAAGGAAGAAACGGGCAAAGACGAAAAAGAAAGAGCACGCATTGGAATGGCGTCCACTCCGGTTGAGCCCTTGATAAAGCGTTCGGGAAGAGTTGATGTCAGGGCTCCAGTGGCGCAATCGGTTAGCGCGCGGTACTTATACAGCAGTACACAGCAGAGCAATGCCGAGGTTGTGAGTTCGAGCCTCACCTGGAGCACATGTCTTTTGGGACCGTTCGCTTTTGGGATATTTCCGTGCATTTGTCAGCAGCTCGCTTGCTACGTGTGCCACGGATTCATTCCACGTGGAGAATTAATCAGACGAACACAAGTCATGAGAATTGCAGTAACTCACGGATGCAAAGGCAGTAACTTTAAAACTGCTATCAGACTGCAAGTTATTATTAGTGAAGCTTTTCATTAGTATCATAAATATGTTAGTTGCATTTAAGAATCATAATTTGTATCAGTATTTCATGTTCATTACACAGGAACAGAAATATTCATGTATTTTGATTCCAGTATATACCTAATTGTTAAAAAAAATAAAGAGATTACATAGGATCTCATAGCTAGATTCAAGTTTTAGGTTGAACTTCATTCATGTCAATGGGAAAATTAAGCCAATATTGAAATCTTCCCCATTGAAATCCTAGAATTAAAATGGCTTGGTGTTCATTTATTTTACAATTGTTACAGGAACAGTTAGAAATAACATAGAGTAGTAATGCTTAATCTATGTTCCACAGAGTACCAATGTTTTTATTTTATTTATTTATATTTCAAATTTAGATACCGCCCATCTCACGAAGAAATGACTCTGGGCGGTTCACAATAAAACAACAATAAATTTTAATTAAAATACAATAAAAACAGTATAAAAATACAGTAAAAATAGAATAAAACCAAACACATACACAAATATTTATTAAATGTGTATGCCGCCCATCTCCCCCAGCAGAGATGGGTGGCATACAAACATCTTCCAAGATGTTGATCAGTAAGGTGTCAACATATGGGAACATCTTCAAGGTGCTAGCTACAGCCAGAGTTGGTTGCCCCTTTTTTTGCCCCATTCCAGCTGGCAGAGCTGGGTCTTGACTGCTTTCTGGAAGGACAAGGGAGTTGGAGCCTGCCTCACCTCTGGGGGGAGAGTATTCCATAGGTCGGGGGCCACAGCAGAGAAGGCTCTCTTTCTGGACCCCGCCAGTCGACATTCTTTCATCAACGGGGTCTGCAGCATACCCTCTCTGCCTGATCCGGTGGGACGGGTGGCTATAATGGGGGTGAGATGATCCCTCAGGTAACCCAGTCCCATGCCATGTAGGCATGTTCCCTATACAATCTGAAGATGTGGAGTTCTTGGGGTTCTCTGAGCATGGTTGTTTTCTTGCAAATGTTTTGTTATCCAGCTAGGTAATATCTTCAGTGCTAGAATGAAGTGAGGTTTGCTCTCTGTTTATATACAGTAGCTTGCCCTGCCAGTGTTGGTGGGGGTGAGTTCTCCCCCCCTTTGGTTGATCAGGAAAACACACACACGCACAGGCAG